GAAAATACGAGCTGGGCTCCCAAGCCTTGGGATTGGGAGGCCCATTTACAACTGGACCGCTACTGGGCCGAATACAAAGCCACTAATGGGCTGTACAAATGAGTAAGTGTAAAATCCGGTTCTGTGAGGTCTTCGTGGCCGACGAGGGCGCGGCCGACGAGGGCACCCGGGTTCCTTGGGCTCAGGACCATAATCTGAGTTGGCACCTTTTCGGCCGACGGGGGTCCCTTGGCCGACGAGGGCGCCACTCAGTGTCTTGTGCTTTCTGTTCTTCTGAGTATGTGGGTCCGGGGGCTCAGACCCATATACTCCATCAATAATAAAAACACCATTGTATATATAGTTTATACTACAAACATATAGTGGGTAGTTGATGCCATTATTCTTCAAATAAAATACATTATTATTTGTATTCACATTTGAGAGATGTTTGAACTATTACTATTAATATTATCACTATTATTAATCGTTTGCATTTGACAACAATTTAAATCAATTTTAGTATTCTTATTTGTATTTGACTTTTTCGAATTCGAATCATCTTATACAAAGGCCAAGCAGTCCCTGTCTAATCCGGTCGAAGGCCGAGCAATCCTGATCCGGTCCGGTTTGGTAGATGACCCGCCGGTTGGTCCCCATTTTTTGAAATCATTTGTAGACTATATTGTTTCAAATAATACTCGATAACTGAATATGGGCTCTTGGAGGAATAAAAACCAGTACTGCCTCTGTAATAGCAACATGTACATGTTTACCAAAATGCTTACCTGGAAGTGAACTTTATCGTTATCATATTGCGGCTTATTTATGTATATGAACTATGCTTGGCACCTTTAATTTGAAAATGACCGGTTTATGCCAAAGCCGAAGACTCCGAGCCTTATGTCTGTTGAGATTATTGGTTTTCGAATATGCGAAAGTTGTTTGTTCAGGCGTGAAATTTGGGAAAGAGCTTGTGAATGCATGTACTTACCGTTGGTTAGTAGTTATCCTTTTGGATTATCAAGTAGCTTTACATGAAGTATATTGCTAATTTATTTTGTAATAATTGGGTTTACCTTAGTAAAGAAAAGTATATTTGATTAAACTTTTAAATTTTAGTTGCATATAAGGTTATTGGTGCATATGTCTATGTAGTAGCAATACCATATGAACTACACGCACATATGCATTATCCAACATACATGTCTCATACAGTCATGTTTGCTATCTAATCCCTCTCCTCCCCATCTCCTATAGCTTTCACAAACAAAATTTTATCAAAGCGTTGTTAATTAATAATTAATTATGTTATTCTAACAATTCATACATACTAATACTATTATTATACGAACCAGTTTCCTATTATATATATATATATATCCTCTTCCAATTATAAGTATAGATGTATTCATTTAATATTTTTAAGATTTTGTGATTGATTTCATTTTCATATTTATTGTCCATCTAAGGCCTAATGTATTTTAAATTTTATTCAAATCATTGTACTTTAATATAATAATTTTTCACTTCACTTATAGAAATAATTACATATACATGGTTAAAATGAATGTTGTTTACAAAAATGTGACCTCATGACTATATACTACGTATAACATTAAATTAATCATAGTAACTTATGTTCAGTTATGTTGTATTATGTATTTGAGACTATACTATATAGTAACTATTCATTGTGTTTTGGTAAATAAGTTTCATTTCAATAATATTTTTGAAAAAAATCGCTTACTTATATAGTTAAGTTGTATTATCATTATTATATTAAAACTCAACAAAAAATTCTAATTATGAATTTAATCATTTATATAATTACATATATTTAGTGTTGAGTGTTGATCGTGTCTAATGGTTGTTGACCGGGCTGATCCGCCGGGTTCGGGTTGACCCTTGACTCGGTAATATTTCGCGAACTGGTTTTGAGAATGCAGGAAAAACAAGTGGATATTACTCGTGTGGTTCACTTTTGTGTGCCACATATCATTTATAATCCAACTATTTTTTCTTTTCATTTTAATCTTTTCTGTTTTCAATTATATTTTTTATTTCACTTTTAGACTGGACTTCTGCCCACCTCCTCTGTATATCACGCGAGAGACACAAAGCGAAATCCCGATTACAGTTTCTCTTCACCCTATCAGTGAAACAATATGGGAGAGCGGCCGGGAAGCTTGGAGAGCGGCAACGACATCCAACTTTCTTCTCAATACAGGGGATTCCATCGCAACGACAGGACGTCGATGAACCTGTGGTAGTCCGAAGATGGAGGATTATCGATCCCCAACATCTCATCTCATGTATCTTCTTCGCAAACGGATAACAGATCGTCTCCCTGGAAAAATCTGAACTAGAAAGCTCTTCTTTTCTTCTTCTAAATAATAATTAGGTAAATCTGACCAAGCCTTGTTGAGTTCATTAGATCAAGTTTGTTACCTTTCTCTGCTTAAATTTCTATTCGACTATCACATATTGTCTTTCTCTCCATCATTTTCTGTTCGTCAGATTCCTTTTAATTATATCCATACTTTTTCGTTTGTTCACGTTTGTTCAAGTTCACTCTGATTTAGATAATCTTAATTTTTATTTTATTTTATGAACTTACATCAAATAAGGTAAAGCAAGTTTGAACGTGCTTTGTAGAGAAAGATAAATTGTTTGAACATGCAAATTGATGTAGGTACAAACATAAGCTTTGTAGAAGAGCTTATTAGAAACGTTAAGCAATTTTGTATGTGTTAAGTTAAATTTCTGAATCTCTGTTTTTATATTATTTTTATGCACCCAAATTTTAAGCTTAATTGATCAAGCTTGTTACCTTTTTTACAGATTCAAAAAATTACAGAAATTTTTAGTTACCATGAAGGATTTAATAAATGGGTGGAAGTTGAAAAGTCTGGAATGTTTAGACTTGAAATGTTGCTTCCTATTGGCTTCTAGAAGACGTCTATGTTATTGCTTGAGGCTTTTCCCTTGAGAGGCCAACTATGATACTTTACTGGATTGACAATATTAGAGAACTATTTGGACATAAGGTGAATCTTGGTCTCATAAAGAAGAACCCCATATGTCGCCTTGGTCTTGAGTAAAAGGATCCCACTATTTTAACTGCTCTTTAATTTCTTCTATGTGTTTGATGGAGTAGACTGAGAACAGATTTAGTAACTAGTACCCTTTTTTCATACAATTTTACCTCAAAAGGTGTTGCATTTTAACCAATGAACGTTGCATACATCAGATTAGTTGTGTTAATTGATCAAGTTTGATACCTTTGTCTACAAAGCAAGTTCAAACACATCCTAATTTGTTCAGGTTGTCGCTTTGTAGGGTTTTTATCGCACAACAATTGGACGGCACTAATGAAAATTGTCCCTGGTTTCAGGATGAAAATTAGCTTCAATTAAAATCTGTGAATACGACACTTGAGGCATTGAGTAGGTAAATGTGTGAAAAATTGTTTGAGCTCGGTATTGTACATGTCAACCGTGTCATATTTTGATCCTGGACTTTTGAACTCACTGTGACTTCTCTCAGAATTTCATTATTGGCACTAGATTTCGGCGGCAACTGGACGGTGGCCCCTCCTCAGCTTCAAACGGCAATCAAGAGTTCTTCCCCATTCACGTACCGCACCTCTAGATGAAATCGGCTCTTTATACTTAAATTATTTGGTTGTTTTACTCGGTTCCTTGTAATAATCTATTACGGAATTGGGTCATGGTGATTGTATTCTCATTGCAGGTGTACGCGTGGAAAAGAAGTACATGAGGATGAAGATGATGAAAATAAGACCGAGAGTTTCGTCGAGGAGAATGGATATATATATAAGAGCCCAGACTGATGCAATAGTCTAATAGACATGTAATACATTCAAATAACAGCTTGAACTATGTATTTGTTGTGATACTCTTATATGTTATTTTTGTTTCCTTTTGTTTCGTCGTACTTGTTGCTTATTGTTGCATTTTGTTGCATTGTGTTGTATTGTGTTGCATTTTGTTGCATCGTATTGCTTATTGTTATTTTTGTTGATATGTAATTTTATTGTCTATTTAGGTTTATATTTATCTTTGCTACTTCTCTGGAATAAAAAACATACGGAGTATATAACTATATGTGTGTGTGTGTTTGCAAAAAAAAACTATATATGCTACATAAATTAAAATAGGTGGAAAGTAATAATACTAATTAGTAATAATACATTTTAACTATTTCAAAAAATATTACAAAATTCATATATAATTTGTTTGTGACTCTTACATTTTTTAATTACATAATTCATACTTTTATTTTTTTCTCTAACTTTTGCAGTTTTTGGCATGTTAGATATTTTAATTTTCATATTCTTGATTTTCAAATTTTTTAAATTTTCTCTCTTTATAGCTTAGATTAATTTTCTGTTAGTTAATTGAATTTTTTTTTATTTAAAACTTGATTTACAAGTTTCAAAATTTCATTTTTATTATGCATTCAATGGATTGTTTTATGTTCGAGTTTTTAGGGTTTCTTTCATTTTTTATTTAGATTTCAGTATTTAGTTTTTTGAATTTTATTGTTTCCTAATTATTATCATATTTTAAATTTTAATGAAGTTTAACACTTTTATATAAAAACAAAAAACTCAGTAATTGCCATACGGAGTATTTAAGAAAGTGGGTTAACTTTAGAGCTTCGGTCATATAAAATCTTTGCTATACGGAGTATTTTAGCACGTACCATTGTCAGGATGGAGCTTCGGCCATTAACTTTCTAACTAAGTGAGTTTTGTATGAGGAGGTCTATTTCTGAAAAGAGGTTTAGCAAGTCTATTTTTAAGAAGGGAATTGAAAAGTGAAAAAAGTGATATTATTTTTACTTTTTCATCTATTTGTGAAAACTTCCCAAAAAACAACCTTAGTCCAGAAATTAGGACAATCATGGTTCCATTCTAGTCCAGAACTACGACTTGTCTAAGCCTATGATAAAAATAGCTACAAAAACACAAATATCAATGTCATTAAAATCAAGGAAATTGTGTCTTTTTGTAACTTCTTTATTTTCATTCTTAGAACATTGGATAATACGTAGCAACTAAAATCTTGAATTTTTAATACCACTTTCTTACAATACACATGCATCTGTGCCAGATGTATTCTTAAATATATAAAGGCTTCTGGTTTCTATATGTGCGCCAAGGAGAATAGTTCAAAACAAATGGAGATGAAATGTGCAGTTTTATTGGAGAGGGTTTTGCCTCTCTTTCAAAGCTGCAATAAGCTATCAGGGAGATTCAGCCATGTTATTTTCTGAGTGAAAAGAGGCTTCTTAACCTTTTACCAACCAGCAACCAGATTGGAGCAGCCAGAACAAGAAGATTTGTGACCATTGCAACATAGGCAAGAACGCAAATTGAACCCTTGCTCCGCCATGATATCTGATTTAAACATTTTTAAACCGGAACAACCTTTACATTGTCATTTTCATTGGAGCGGCGACAAGATGTACGAGCATGGTAGAACAAGATTGTCGTCGCCATCCTAGTTTCCAGATCTGAGGCAAAGATCCCAACAGCTAGGATTTAGGTCCAGATCTGAGGCAAAGATTAGCCGACGGCAAAGATCCCGACAGCTAGGATGGGGCGCAGAGGTGGTTCAAAAGCAGGGGAGGGGACGGGGGCAGGGTGTTGGGAAGCGATTGTGCACGGTAGGGGCGGGGTGTGGTGGGGTGTGGCTGGGTTGAGGGTTGGGGTGTGGTGGGGTTGGGGGTTGGGGTGTGGTGGGGTGGGGGTTGGGGTGTGGTGGGGTTGGGGAGGCGGCTAGTAGGGTCACACTTATTGTGGCAGCAGTCACGGGTGATGGTTTTGATGGCGACGATTGGCGAGTGTGTTAGGCTGAGTTCATTTGTGGTGGTTGGGAAGCAATTTTGGATTGACAATGGCGGTAGAATTGCATCTTCTTGCATGCTCAAGCCAGGCTCTTGTTGTTCAGGTGCCTCGTTCATGCTCACCGATGGTATCAAACTATTAGCATTAAACCCGGTTCTTCCAAAGCCTTACCCAATCAGGTAAGGGTGAAAGTCTGAAACAGGTGTGAACACTGTCAGTTCCAAACCATTTTTTGGGCCAAAACCAAATACGCAATGACTTTTGCAAACCTCAAGTAATTGTTAGTCGTCACCTGCCAGATTTATGGAGATAAAACAATGACACAAAATAATGTTGTGAAGGAGACATTTTTCTACTTTATAAGGGTTATTAACTTATTATGTCTTTAATGGTGCCTTCTTTTCTCGGCAGGAGCAGTTGAATGAGATTTGAAACGGCCTCTACCTTCTCCTTCTCTTATCTGCAGTACCCGTGAACGATTTGCAGATGTAAACAATTCAGTAAAAAACAAGCATTGCGTAATTGATGGAAAATAAAATTGAAGAAAAGCGGATTTGATAACGGGAAGATGTGTGAAGGCAGTACCTTCTTCTTAACAATCTAATTGTACAGAATAGTAATGTTGATTCTAAGAGCCCTCTTGGTGACAGCTGAACTGACTAAATAGCCTGAATTAAGTGTGCTGATTTTTTATTGTGAACATATAATGGGGTCAGAAGAGATGTATTTCTGACTTCGGGGAGCAGTAAAATTGCAACTTCATTGAAAAGAATCTTAGCAGATATTACAGTCAACTCAATGATCTTGAATTTTTCATTTCACAATAGATCCATCAAACCTCATACATAGAAAAGCTTTTAATGACCAAGGTTCAAATTCCCGCAGCGACCGGGTGGAGGTTAAAGAACCAGAAATAAGGCTGGGCCTCTAGTGCGCACGGGTGTATGGGCCTACTGCCATTCTGCTGACTGAGTCACCGTGACTAACCTCCCCACCATCCTGTCGGGTCGGGGTGGGGGGCTCTTGGGGTGGGAGATTCCACCTTTTGGATCAATAGAAAAGCTTTTAACCTCACGAAATAAGAGCTGACAAAGACAACAAAGCAGATGGTCACGTACAAGGAGAAGGAAAACTAAATTTCTGAAGCAGATCCTAAAGTTACTTATAGGTTAAACATGGCTGCAGAGAATTGCAAGTTGCAACACCTCACTCAAACACATACTAGAGATTATAAATATCACAACTCAGTTTTTACACTAAACTCAAGTTGACAAGGCCTCTTGCATTGTTGACTATACTCATAGAGATTAAATATCACTACCTCAACATTGTGAATCTTGTATTCATGTAGAATTTGATAGCAGAGCTTCTCATCCACATGAGTTAAAGTTAGTTTGCTGTTGAATGAGATCCCGCCTGTTTTTTTCTTTTTGAAGTATATCTGTCAACATCAAACTTAACATAAGAACTCGTTTGATAATGGGATTTTGCTAAAATTATGCATAGAAGCATTTCTGGAACTGCTGAACTACGCGAGAAATATTACCAAAATATATATATAAAAACTAAAAAACAGGATTTTATCCAAAAATATTACTAGTACTGAACCAGTACTAATGGGAAAAAATATGACATGGTCACAATAGTCAGTTAGTCACTACTTACTACGAAACTACCAATGTGGGCCATGTAACTGCAGACTAAATTGATCACTGTGGTTATTAGTCATTGCGAAAGTATCACTATGGTCATCAATTATCAAGTCACATTTTTATTTTAGCCATATATTTGTCTTTACTTAAAAAAATAAAAAAGGCAACCGGGGTGCTAGTTTTTATATTGTTATACAATTCACTGATTCAGCACAAGCAAACAAATAGATTAATGCAAGATTAAATGTCTGATAAGCTGAGAAAGTGGCTACCTAGCAGCCATAAAATTCATAATTTCTTATCCCCAACACAAAAGATGCACAAACATCAACATAAGATCCAATCTTGCTTGGAGATACATATGTGCACGCTATTTATATGCTAGGTAAGACACTGCTTATAATGAGGCCCTCTTTAAAGTTCGTCAATGGTCCTTCAGATAAAGGCATCATTCTTTCCTATGATGCATTTTTATCATTGTTTGCCCTCATACGCCATAAATAATGTGTTCAAGTTTTTTCACTAAAAGCATCCATTTACAAGGAATATTTATTGAGGCCTTGAGGGTTGAATCAGAATATCATAGTTCTTAAAAGAGTTCATGAAAATCAACTACTTTCCTGGGTTATGTAATCTTGTCAATTGTGACTTGTAGAACAGTCCAGGGGAGGTATTACACGATGGGATAGAATAAAAGAGTATGTGTACATATAGGCTTCAATAAAATCTCAAAGGCTCCTAGAAGAAAGAGTCCACAAAAAATATTCATCCTAGATAAATCCAGAGAAAAGTGTGGACAAATTGTCACGAGAGAAGAGGAAACTTACCTGAGTGGTCTCTTAATTAAGATTTGTTAAGATTTGTCGATGCCCTTCACTCTAAAGTTTTGTTTGGTTGGTGAGAAAGTACAGAAAATATAAGGCTACAAATTTGACACAATAGTGATTATTACTTGCTTGTGATGCATCCAGAACCATCAACACTAGATCAGATGATTTTGATACAGCAATGACCTTCACCAAAGTCAAAATTCACTCAGATTTTGATCAATACCACAGGGCCAACTAAAACAATGTGATTTAAGCTATAACTGTCTCTGAAACATCTCTCAGGCAATGTTTGAATTCCATGTGGGGTGGAGGGAAAATATATTTTACTTTCTCTAAGTATTTTCTCTTGTTTACATTGACATAGAATAAGAAGGGAGTGTAAACAAAAACTATTTTGCTTTCTCTGTTTATTTCTTCCCGCTTAATACAACAAGGTAAAAATTCTTAATTATAATTTTCAATCTGTAAGAAACATGAACATGGTTACCTGTCTACCACGTCCCTCCCCTTAAAATGCGCCTTCGATGATCCCAGGAAGATCGAGCAATTGGATTTTAGTATCATTGTAGTGTATAATACCTGGGATGCAAGTAAGAGTAGTGAACTCATACGACACAGCCTCAGAATGTGTTCCTGTCAGCATTGTCAACAGGGTTGACTTTCCCACACTGTGAGAGGGTATAAATTTAGTATAGGAAAAGGTACACTGATAAAAGAATTCAATATCTGAAATTGATATAAATATCCCTTAGAAGGGTAAAGTGGTAAACACGTCAAAATTGTGTGAAATTGAGTTCCCAAACGATGATGTCTCAAAATTCGGTTCAGGTAAACTGTAAACCACTAGTAAATGCCCTTAAACAAAGTATATCACCTAACCAGAGGCATAAACATTGATCCATAAGATTAATAACTAAATTGATTATTGCAAACTTACATGGCCGGTTAGGAACAAAATCATAAAATATCATTTGATAAATCTACTATTATAATAAACTGTATGAATTACACTTTTCTTTAGGTTTCTTATCAAACACTTTTCTTTGGGCATGAGAAAATAAAATACCAAAGCATGGAAATCCTATTAGAGTATTAGTGCAACACGTCCATGGCCAAATTTTGTGACTTCAATACCCTCTCCAGCTCCACTAGAACCCTGTTCATCATTAGAAACGATGACACCATAAAGAGGCTAGCAGAAAAAAATAAAATAAAACTTAAAAAATTGTTATTTAGTTCCTCAATTGTTATACTTTCTGCATTACGTAATATAATTCCTCAACTCCTGCCCCCCTCTTCCCCCTTTCGTCGACTCCCACATTCCCTTATGAGTTTAAAACTTTGAACGTAGATAGTGGCTAAGGCATTTTGTCGAACATGAAGACTACAATAGCTATGATGAATACCTTAACTATGAAAACTACTTTTGTATTAAAGTTGTATCAACGACCTTAAAAGTTAAAAGGTTCCATCACATTAAAATGTTGACCCTTCTTCTTTCTTTTATTTTCTCGACTCCCCTCTTCCCCCCTTCCCTCGACTCCTGCCCCCCTCTTCCGCCCTTCTTTTATTATCACATTAAAAGTTATAACAATTGTAAAATTTAAAAGAAATGTCATGCAATGTGGCAACCCAATAGGGTGAGGTGATGTTATCCTCTTTTGAGGGGTGAACAAAATTGTTCTGAAATTAAGACATACTAGTATATTAAGATAATGTTTTGTCAAGTTTTTCAAAATTGATTGTGAAATATATTTATATTGATAAATGAAGTTTTTATTGATAGTATAAGAATAACCTAATAAATTGATTTGTTTACCTAAGAATAACACTAAATTGATTTGTTTACCTATTCAGATTGTTATTCAATATACAAAATAAACAATCTTATATACAAATATCACTTAAACCAGACAAACATATTAATTCAAACAAATGTCCTAATTCAGACAGGATTTAATAGAAAACATAAACAATCATATACCAAAATATTACAAAAAATTGTATGACAGGCCAAGGTTATACACTCTTCGTCTCTTCCGATCGGCCCAACCGCCGAATGCTAAAATGTCCTATATGCGATGCATCGGCCTAAGGCCGAAGAGTTCATGTATTTGGGAGGAGCCCGGGGAGGGCCAACCTTGGCCCTGGCCCAGCCTAAATTAAAAAATGTTCATATTTTTAGTATAAAATATTCTGTATAAAAATTTTCCCAAATATGTTCTTTTTACCGGCTCAATTCGACCCAGTGGCTCCGCCCCTGTTCATGTATATGTGATGCTTCTAGTGTTTGGAATCTAGGAAATTGAGACCTAAAGAAACACGGGAATTGAGTGAATGAGTGATAGGAAGAAAGAACGAAAGAAGAAATAAAAAATGGAAATGCAGACATGTGGGAAGAAGACGGGTCTGGACCGTGGGAGAGAAGAAAGAAACAAAAAAGGAAAAAACAAAGACAAAGGTGAAAAACAAAAAGAAAAAAGAAAGGAAAGAGTATAAAAATAATACTCCGTAGAAAACGGTAAAAAAATGTCACTTGGACTTACATCCCTCATCAGGTGATTTTATGGAACTCGGTGGACTTTTATATACATAGTAATTACTCCCTTCGTCCCGTTGGAATGTTTCCGCTTTCCTTTTTTAAAAAAAAGGAAAATATTCAAATGACCTTATTTTCTTAATAAGTAAAAGGTATTATTCATTAATTTATTTTATATACATAGTAATTACTCCCTTCGTCCCGTTGGAATGTTTTCGCTTTCCTTTTTTGGATGTCCCGTTGTAAAGTTCACATTTCCCTAAATGGAAAGTTATCCTACATCAAAACAGGGTCAAACAGTGCAAAACAGTGTCAAACAGTGCTAAACAGTGTCGAAACAGTGTCAAAACAGTAAAATTTACCCCCTGGTAAGTTTATTTCCTTAATATGTGTGTAGGTCAAACCAGGAACATTCCAACGGGACAGAGGGAGTAATTTTTTCTGGTACTTCAAAATGACTGAAGTCTATATAGATTTGAACTTTATGTCCGCTAAGGATGTTTTTACTTGAATTATTTTCAGTCTCAGACCAGTATAGATTTAAACAAATCAAACCAGACTAGTTTAGACCAGACTAGACCAGACTTCAATAGTTATACAATACACGGTGAGCAGACATTTATCAAACCAGATCATACCAGTTCAGATCAGACCAAATTTAAACAGACCAAACCAAACCAAACCTTCCAATTTCAATCCCATTAAAACCATTTAACTATGTTGGCCAACGATGTATATTGATTTATTAGCCGACTTGCTCCTTTTCTTCTAGAATAAATAGAACTGGTCGAAAGTGGAACAGTTATATCTCACGAGTCACGATTCCCACATACTGTATGTATCAAGGAAGAAAATTCAATTCAATGTGGGTGGGTATGCAGAAGAAACTGGGCGGCCGCCCGCCCAACATAGAACAGAAACAGTCGTATACGCGCGTACAATTCCTTGCAATGATCGAATGAATGTAGAGTATATATATTGGACCAACAGGCCGGCACCAAGCAAAATCAATCAGCTAGCTACTAGAAATTAAGCATTATGTATACGTTCAGTACGAGAAAGCAGCTGCCTTTCTCCTCTTTTCTTCTTGCTGCTTCTCTGCTCATGATGATCTTTGTATTCATTTGCCAGCTTGATGCAACACAGGCACAAGAAGTTGAGGATGAAAGGGAGTTCGATTACGACGAGAAGAGCGAAAAGGGCCCGGGGAGATGGGGAGAGCTGAAGAAAGAATGGGCTGCTTGCGGGGATGGAAAGATGCAGTCTCCCCTCGCCCTCTCCGCTCCGATCATTGAACGCCACGGCAGCGCTCGCAGGCCGGACGTCAAGATCACTAGGAACTCTTACATACCAGCGAATGCTACTCTTCACAACCGAGGCCATGACATTTCCATTGAGTGGGTGGGTGATCCCGGGTCCATTCCTATCAATGGCAAACACTTCTCCCTCAAAGCGGTTCATTGGCACTCTCCTTCGGAGCACACTCTTCATGGTACCAGGTATGATCTAGAGCTACATGCATTGCACATGAATACGGACCAAACGAGTGGAAAGAACACAACAGCTGTGTTTTCGATTCTCTACCGCATTGGTCATAAACCCAACCGGTTTCTCTCCCGGCTGACGAAGAAAATAGCATCTATGATGGATCTCGAAGGTGAAGTGAGAAATGCAGGGTTTGTTGATCCAAATGAAATCAAATTCATAAGCAATGATTATTACAGATACACGGGTTCTCTCACTACCCCGCCTTGCACCGAAGGCGTCATTTGGACAGTCAATAAAAAGATATACTCCGTTTCCAGGAAGCAAGTAAAGCTGCTTCGAGCAGCAGTTCATGACTCAGCAGAAAGAAATGCAAGACCTCTACAACCGCGCAACAATAGAGATATATATCTCCGACTGTCGTCTTGAGTGATCAAATGATCATAGATGATTATCATTCAAGAGAAAGTTATAAATTTTGTCTCATACCTTATGCACATGACATACTCTTTTTTAGTCATGTAACTTTATAAGTACTTTTTTATTTTGATTTATCATGTAACTAATAAATTCAACTATATTAAAGACTTTTTCATCTGAATGTACTATACTACTATTTATGATGAACAAGTGATGGGAACTGCCTTCCCGATTAATTTTTAGTTGAAATTTGGTATGAGTAAACTAGATTTGATGAAGAACATGTTTAAAAAAAATCATCAAAAGTTCCATCGAGAAGGAACTCAAATGGGCTCGACGGCGGTTTGAACAAGTGATGGGAACTTGACCATCCACAAGACCCCTTTTGAAGTTTGAACAACTCCATTGCAAACAAAAGCTGTGATCTGTATTTTTTCAACATAGGGAACGTTTTATTGGATATTGAACAAATGTGATTACACAGAAAAGTTGAAAAAGGGAAATAAAAAAATAAAAGAAAATATAAAAAGCCAAAGCAAAGTACATGATAACTCAATCGTAAGTACTAAGAATCATCAATTCATATGTGATATTGTGATTGAGATCTCGTTCTCATGGGATGCTATTTCTATAAAGTTTCATTTTCCTGTTGAGATTCTGTCTAAACAAGTTTGATCTATCATATAATCATAATATTGAAGGCAAAATTTTGTGCTGTTACGTTAGTGTGAACTCTTTGGAAAGAAAATTAAAAAAATCTTCGTAAATCGAAGAGAAACAAAAAAATAATACAGTACAATTCATATATGAATGACAGAAAATCATTATTTTCAAAGTACATTAAATGAAAAACGAATTTTGTAACGCTCAGTCATACTTCTTAAAAAAGACAGCACATTTAATAACAATGCCCAAGGGCCCTCCTTATTTGCCCTCCTTAATTGCTGCAGAGAGTTTTCAACTCTTCTACAGCGGTCCTATTGAGCAGAATGGATGCATTGGACTTTTTGAGAAAGTTAGAGTTTCATCCATTGCACCTTCCTTCTGGCACAACAGGAAGAAACATGCCACAATCCGCACATACCACCCACTTTGGGGTTTGGGAAAGTGAAGTAGCTGGAAAAGAAATGGACAAATCAGATTGTTGCACTTTAATTATTTAAGGTAACAACTAAGGTACCTTGCAAATTTGTGTTGGGATTAGAAAATTCTTTTATTAAATATCAAGAACAGAATTAAAATAGGAGGAATAAATTCTCATACTCAACTATTACTGTGATTTTTCAAACTTGTCAAACACTTCACGAGATGCATCCAGAGTTGGGATTCTGTTCCAGGAGGTGAAAGAGATGGCTGCTATGTCATTTTCGGAGGTTCATTTCAGCTGTGTGAAGAGGGAGAGCAACCGAACAGCACATGAATTAGCTCGGTTAACTAAGAACGATCAGGAAGGGGGCTCCTGCGGCTTGAAGCACCGCCACGGATTAATGTTTTTCTGAAAAATGATTGTAATTCCGACTTGTTTTATCAATAATATCCCCTTTTTTCCTCGCAAAAAAAACTATTACAAAAAATCAATCCTCACCTATACACTTCTACACTAAGTGTATTTCACTGTTCACACACTTTTCTCACTTTCTAAACCGATGATAATGAACAACATGAGCACTCTATTTATAGGACTATTTTGGAGACAAGAAGAAGTTGCATCCAAGCTTCTCCATATCTTCTCTCACGTCTATTTGTTGGAGAGCTCTTTCCAAGAAGGTGCTTCCATGTTAAGGTGTTTGTTGGCAACTTCCAAGAAAAGAAGGCGGAAGATCCCTACAATTTTGAGGGTACGGTGCCTAATACAAATGTACCACTAAATTTGCGCCATGTGTCATTGTTAAAATCTCCTTGCATTCTTCTGAATTTGCTTATGTTTTCCTAATTTTTTTGATAATTCGTTTGAAACCAACTTCCGTTACATGACTTATGTCCTCCGTCAGTCTTGCTCTTCTTTCCCCTTTTCCATTTCTTTATCCTCTATTCTTATCATTTCTCTTCATCGCCTGTGGCTATGGAGATTATGGCTCAGGACAACGCACGGTGCGTTAAGTAACTGGCTTTTACTAGAAAATACTATTTTTGGTCGTTTTGACGGTGGAGATAAAGGGTTCCATAGCTTACAAAAGGATTCTGGAGATTATATTCCAAAGTCCGGTATACTCCTTTCCCCGTAAATTGATGGTCAAATTGGAAGCTTGATGTCAATGGTCTTCCGTCTGTGAAGGTATATGAGTATGGACAACATATTGAGAAACTAATCTCTTAATGGGTTGTCCTGGGAAACTAATTCATTCAGAAATCCTCCCTTAATGGGTTGTCCGGGTAAACTAATTACTCGTGTATCAGGTAAAAGTTTCATACTTAACATAGAGAAAACTCTATGGTAGAAGTCATATATGTATGTGCGCTTTCCCCTTTATACGTACAGTAGGTCCTAATCCTGAACTAATGTGCTTGGATTAGAGTGGAATTCAATCATTTGTTTCTATTGTATAGTATCTGAAGAAAATATTTAACTTAATGATGAGTTTCTGAAGCTGACGGGATAACTCACTGTTATATTTTGCAACACATATTTTCGTTTTTATGTTATGTAAAAAATGTGAGTTAGATACAAGTTAATGTGCATTACATAAATGAGTTGTGTGTCATATACCGGTTCATGTACATTACACATTCCAGGTTCTGTGCTATATACCGGCTATTGTGCATGACATAACTATTGTGATTCTCTATGTCTATACTATGTGCTAGATACGAGTTCTCTAACATATATACATATTGTGCTTCAGGTACTAATTCATGTGTACTATATGAAGTCCTTGTGGGTTAAAGTTTTTTAGATAAAATAATTTTATTAGTTTACGTCTAATTAATTATATTGAAATTCATTGCGACATTGCTGCTTTGCATTACTACTAATCATAATCACTGCACTCCCTCCAATATTGTAACACTATCTATTGCCTTTGAATCACTGCATAACACACCTCGTCAATGCTTTTATTCAATGCTCGTGTACAACGTTAACTATTACCATATACGGTGCCCATATTCAACATTTATTGTCATATTCATTGTCAATGTTCACTGCCCGTGTTTATGCTCACAAACCCTAATTTCAAAAATCCCTAATTTAAAAAATAGAATTATGATGTGAACCAGAAAAAGAAGCTATCCAATAAGCCCACAAACCTAATCTTTTTTAAAAAACGAATAATTCTACTTGGTGGACTCATGTGCCGCCACAACACATTGATAATGAGATCTAACGGAGAGAAATTGAGGACACCATCATTCTCTCATCAAATTGAGAGATACAAAACGTCGTTGGAAATCTGCAGAGGAGACCAGCCGCCATATTCCGTCGCCTCTATGCTCTTCTTGGCATAGAAGCACCATACAAGAGAAATTCCGGCGATAGGCCAGATGAGTAGTTTGGACGGCCTCCATCTTCCATCGTCTCTCTGCTCTTCTTTTTAAATCGACGAGCAAACTTGATGTGCTTTGTGCTCTTCTAGCCCAATCGATGTGTGCTACTGTACGACGCGGGACGACGGTAGGAGGCGGCCTTGCGGCATATGCATCTTGAGCGGCGGTAGGCAAGGCCAGGGTTTGTAGAAAAGATGTAGGAGATTAGACTTTTATAGGTATAAGCTAAAGGGTGTATTTGTCCACCTAAATTAATTATTAATTATTAATGATGAAGTTTAATTAAATATGATGGATAGTCTACCCGGGGGTATATATCCGGGGGTATATATCCGGAGGGTTATTACGGGGAATAACTTAGAGAGAAGTCGGAGCAAGTAAGTAAAAGTAGAGAGAGAGTGTATTCAGAATGAATGCCGTTTTCAGCGTGGTTACAAATGAGGAAATGGGGTGCTATTTATAGTAGCAATAAATGCCGGGCAGGGACACGTGTCAAGCGCTCATTGGCCGAGGGGTCACCTTAACTGGTTGGCGCTGGCAGCCGCATGTGGCCGCATTTAATGCGGCTGTTGGACGGGACGTCTGTGCGGGGTACGGTGATCTGTACGCATGTGAGGCGGATATCTTGTCGAGTGAGATGCCTTCGGCTATAGAGCAGTAGCCGAGGGTTCTTCCACCCGATGGCACCCCTGGTGCCGAGGGCTCACAATGCCGAGGGCTACTGTTTTCGCTTTTTTCTCCCAGTTTCTTAATTTGCTTGAGAAATCCGTTCTGTGAGAATTTGGAGCCTTCGGCCAGGGGGCGAAGGCACCCCTGGCGCGTAGTGCGGACTGCTTGGTACTCTGGGCGCTGTGATTTGGGCTTGTTGGGCCTTTTGGGCCTTCGCTGGAGTAGTAGGAGTCTGTGGGCCGGGGGTTCCCGGGCCATATACTCCATCAGGAGTCCCTCACTCCTTTTGCCGAAAGGTACTTGAGGGAAAAGGAGTAATTTGTGCTTGCCCCTTGATGTTGTCCCGTCGTGATCTCTGAAGTTGGTGAGGAGTTGTTGCTTTTATGTCCCTGCCGAAGGCAGTCCCTCAGTTACCCACATGTCGGGACTTGAGGGCTTGCTTTGTTGTTTGTTGGAATTTCACAGATTTTGTAATTTAATGATTTTCCCGAGGGGGTCCTCCAGTCCCCCACTCCTTGAGGCACTTGTAAAGTGGTGAAAAGGAGTAAAGTAGTTACGTTGCTGTTGTGGGCCGAAAGCTGACGCTTTTCGTTTCATTTTGGGGGGATGCCTCGTTAAAAACCTCATTAGGAAAAACCCTTTGGGAAAAAATCCTAATGAGGGAAAAAGAGTGCACCGAATTCCCCCAATGATGAATCGAAAATGTCAAACCTTGGTAAAAAATGGAGAATGAAGGGAATGCCGAAGGCTCTCTCTTCTGAGGGCTCCTGTGTTGATTAGCCGAAGGCTTGCTGTTGATGTCCTGGTGGCGCCGAAGGGGAGCCCCTCAATCCAGGGATCGAGGGCCTGCCAGATGAGGGCAGCAGTGAAGTTGTTACCGGGGGGTCCACTGTTTGTTGATTAGTTGGTGATGAAGATACCCGAGGGCTCCCATTACCTGGGTGCCATGGGTCATCCGTCAATGAGGCAACTCCCCGGGGGCTACCCGGTTTTGCAGTGCTGAGGGGGAATCCCCGAGGGGTGCCCTGATATGAAGTCCTGAGTTTCTGAAGGAGTGATCCCGAAGGCGTCTCTAATGTGCTGTTTGGGGCATAACCTGGGCACACTTCTGAGTGAGTGTACCCGGGGGCTACCCTTGATGAAGTGGAGTGAAGTGGAAAAACCCGGGGGCTTCCAGAATATAGCCGTTGGAAATATAGCCGTTGGGGGGGTGGCACACGTGGCGTGTGATGGCTGGCTGTTCGCGGGCGGCGTCACCGGTTGGGTGAAACGACGGTGTGTAATGATGACGGTCCGTCCGGAGGCCTGGTTTCCGGGCCCAAGCCCGGATTCCAGCGCCTATAAATACCCCAAGGCCAGAGCCATTCCCGCTGTGCGAACTCAGTTGTCTTAGCGAAGCTCTGCCAAAAAATATAGTGAGAGAAACTCAAGCCTTCGGTCCTAACTCAGCTTTCGAGGTCAGTGCTCCCTGCCTTTCTCCTTCTAGTATAGCTGTACATTGCGCCCTCGGGTTAGGAGATAGAATTCACTAGAAACCTTAGTTCCCCCGAACCCTCGAGCTAGAGTGTGAATGTCGTCCCAGAGTGATTCTCAAGATATCTCGAGGACGCCCTCGATGGAGGACGAAGGCATCTCCGACGTGGAGTCAAGCAGTGGTCAGCCCTCGGATGGTGGTGATGCAGCCCTCGCCACTGAGGTGCAGAAGGATCTGATGGCCGAGGCCGAGGCGGAGGAATTCGAGCGAACTGCCGAGGATGAAGAGTTGGCCCTCGCCGTCCAAGTTGCTGAAGAGGAGGAGGAAAAGGAGAGGGCGAAGGTCACTGTGGCCGTACTTCCCCCTCGGGGTGCTGGTGAGGCCAGTACTTCCCAGCCGCTGAATGCGGTTCCCATCCGGGTTGCCCCCGGGAAGAAGAAGGCCAAGGCAGCTGTCCCCAAGAAGAAGATTATTGCTGCTGATCAGGGGAAACCCGTAGATATGCCGGAGGGGTATTCCTGGCTCAACACGGCTGCCTTGGAGATAAAGTCGAAGGCGGACAGGGCGGACCTCTACGTGACGCAGCTACATGTAGGGCCCTCGGCCGAGGTGGTCGAGCCGGGAGTTGACGATGTGCTCTCTCGGGCGCCTGAGGGGTGCATTGCAGTACACGTACTGTCGGTCTCCATGGGCCTTCGGTTCCCTCTGCACCCCTTCCTCCGGGAGTACATGAGGTTCGTTGGCTTGGTGCCCTGCCAGCTGACACCTAATAGCCACTCCTACGTGGCGGGTTTTTTAAACCTCTGTAGGGACCGAGGGGTGACCCCCAGCCTGGACTTGTTCTTCCAGAGCTTCAATCTCTGTCGAGGGGGTCACGCGAATGCCGAGGGCTTCGCCAACCTGCAGCAGGTGGCCAGGTGGAAGCTGTTCACGGAGGCGCCTTCGTCCAACAAGGGCTGGAAGGAGCGCTGGTGCTATGTCAGGGTTGCTGAGAACCCATTTCCGGCGGAACTTCGGGATCGCTTCCGTCGGCATCCGAAGGTTGGAAGCGCTGCCCTCGAAAAAGACGGCCTGGTGATAGCCAAAATCCCGGAGGGTCGCACAAAGCAGGTCTCCATCAAAGACTATACTGCCGACAAGGGATTCTACGCCCTCGGCTTTCGGAGATACCAGTTTATTGGGGAAGCGGACGAGAAGTACCCCATTTTTGCTGAGGCCTTCGGGGGAACAGGAGGTAGTCTACGAGGTCCCTCGGTTTTCATACCTTAGCACATAGCTTATCTTGTTCGTGTTTTTTTTTCTTTTTATTCTTTGTGCCTTCGGTCAGTAACCCCTCGATTTTGACCCCATACCTTTTTTTTTGTAGGTGTCCCAGTGAAAATGATGAACGTCAGAGGCCTTGCAGACCTGAAGAAGAAAAAACCCTCCAAGGGCCCGAGGGGGACGGACGCCGGTGTCCCAAAACCCGCCGGTGACTTCTTCAAAAAACCGGAGGGGCCGTCGGTTGGCCCAAGTGCTGATGCTGCCGCTGCCGCCAAAAGGAAGGGCTCGGGCAGAGATCCCGAGGGCAAGAAGCCCAAGACGGGGGATGCCGGGAAGAAAGTCCCCCCGGTGATCATTGTTGATGAAGGCCCTGCCTCCGGGGCGAATGAGGACACGCAGGTGGCGAAGGTGCCGCCGGGAGTTCAGGGGCCATCTTCCGAGGTCCTCATGGTTTCCCTCCCGGCTGGTACGGCCGTGATGAATGGTACGGCCGACCCGAGGGCGCTTCTGAGAGGCATCACCCTCGAGATTGACAGAGTAGCCCTCGGGGCTGATGAAGACGAAGCCCTCGAGGACAGGATCCTCCGGTCTTCCCTCACAGTAAGTCTTTTATGTTTATTCCTTTCTTTTCTACTTCGAGCTAAGAAACCATGTTTGGCCTCACTTACCCCTCTGTTTTTGTAGACCTGCATTGCCCTCGGGGAGCAAGCCCGACGGCTAGATGAGTGGCGCCTTCGCAAGGCCGAGCAGGAGGCCAAGATGCGGGAGCTCATCCGCCAGAATGCAGACGCTGTTCGACAGATGGCTATGCTGGAGGAGAGCCTTCGGCAGATGACCCTGCGGGCGGAGGCCGCAGATCGGGGTAGGGCAGAAGCCGAGAGGTCCGCAGCTGAGGCCTTGGAGAGAGCTGTCAAGGAAGCCGAGGCCGCGAAGGTGGAAGCCGTCGAGAGAGCCCGAGGGGACGCAATCTCGGGGTTCCTGGCAGGGGGGTGGCGGTCCGAGGAGCACAAGCAATGGCTGTCCTCGGTCGTCGAGTCCTCGGTCGACGAGTGGTGTGACGGGCCTGGCGTGGAGTGGGTTTCCCGAAAGGGTAAACAATACTATGATGGGGGCGAGTTTTTCACTCAAGCCCTCATCTACCGGAGGATGGCTCGCCACTTAAAGATCGAGCCAAAAGACTTTGACCCAGCAGCATACGGGCTCCCCCCTGCAGCCAGACATCCGCGTTCCTCTTCCCCCCGATGTCGAGAGGCCAGACCTGGAGGACTCTGAGCTCATGAAGGAAGCCGAGGGCGACGAACCCGAGGCCGACGCAGAAGTCACCTCGAAGCCATCGGGGGAGGCGGCCCCCGGGAATGACATGATTTGATATGTATTTTGTATTATGTAAACATGTATTTGTAATGGTGACATTATCCTTCGGCTTCGGCCTGCTTGTAACATTTAGTCGTATTACATTTGCCCTCTGTTTGTTGATGATTGAATGATTGCCTCCGGGCTGTGTTTATATGATTTGTTTTCTCCAATTCCTTTCTTCTTGAATGCATGCCTTCGTTTTTGTTTTGGATGCATGTCTTTGCTCCTTTGAATGTATGTTTTAGGACTTAGAATATTATCTGATTGTAGCTAGCCCTTGGGAGCCTTCGGTAGTTGGACATCCTCTGCTGGACATACGACCGAGGGTTCAGCAGGAATTGGGACTTAGAAATTTTTCTAAGTGTAGCACAGCATGAGGCCTTCGGGCGTTTATAGTAACCCAAATCCTAGGACTTAGAAAAATTTCTAAGTGTAGATTTCCCCTTGAGCCTTCGGGATATGGCGTCCCTTCCTGATGTGTGAATGTTGGACCGAGGGCCCAATGCACAGGACTTAGAGATTTTTTGCAAGTGTAGTATGTCATGTAGCCTTCGGCTACTGTGGAGCCCCAACTGAAATATTGAATAGGCCGGGGGCCAATTCTTTAGGACTTAGAAAATTTTCTTGAGTGTTGATTCCTTGTGTACTGTAGCCCTCGATTGATAGGTAGCCTTCGGCAATTAGGTCCCTTGAGATGAGGGTGAAATATGTAGGACTTAGAAAATCTTCTAAGTGTAGAGTTTCCCTTGGGAGCCTTCGGGAGGTGGCATCCCTCCATGATGTATGAGTAGCTGACCGGGGGGGGGGGGGGGGGGGGAATATGCAGGACTTAGAAAATATTCTAATTGTAAAATCTCCCTTGGGAGCCTTCGGGAGATGGCATCCCTCCTTGATGTATGAATAGTTGACCGGGGGGAAAATATGTGGGACTTAGAAAATCTTCTAAGTGTAGATTTTCCCTTGGGAGCCTTCGGGTGATAGGTGCCCTCTGACTCCACATCACTTTGTGAGATGCCCGGGGGCTACTCATTTAGGACAGAATACTTTTTTTTAAGTGTTGTTGTATTGCATGGCCTTCGGCCACCATATTCCCTTGGCTGTAATATTGATTGGGCCGGGGGCCCAATCTTTAGGACTTAGAATTTTTTCAAGTGCTGCTTCCCTGTGTAGCCTTCGGGTGATAGGTGCCTTCTGACTCTACATTACTTTGCGAGATGCCCGGGGGCTGCTCCTTCAGGACTTAGAATTTTTTCTAAGCATAAATTGATGTTGAATCCGTTTAGTGGACCTTGGATAGTCCAGTCCCTTTGTATTGTTGAAGCCTTCGGTGTTTTTGTGACCGGAGGTGACCAGGTAGTGGACTTAGCCGTTTCCTGATGATATTTCTATGAGTAGTATCCTCCGGGAAATAGGAGTCTTCAATTACCGGAGGTGTTCCCGTGGGGAGCCCTCGGCATGTTGTGATCTTGTTGGAGTGTACTCTTTGATTTCTCGCTGAGTCTACTCCCCTTCACCCCCCCCCCCCCCTTTTTTTTTGGTTGGTTGGTGGTGAAGGGAAGGCATCAAGAAATTTGGTTTCTTGGTAAGGCTGGGCCTATTAGGAGACCATCAGAATACACCAATGGCTCTCCTCCCTCGGGTTAACCTTCTGAATTCCGAGGGGATCGAGGGTCATTTCCTGGGCACAAGATATGGTGGTCCGTAACCTGCCTCCCCTTGGGGGATGGCGCGGAAAGCGCCTCATTTTTGAAAGTCGTCCCCTCGGCATTAGACATAGTCTGTGGCCTGCCACACCCTTGGGGTGGTGGCGCGGGGAGCGTTTCGGTTTCGAAGTCGAATCCTGGGCATTTCTCATGCCTGTCATACCCTGGGGGTAGTGACGCGGATAGCGTTCCGTTTTTGAAAGTCGAATCCTTGGCATTTCTCATGCCTGTCATACCCTGGGGGTAGTGACGCGGAAAGCGTTTCAAGGAAGGGTTTTCATTTGCACACTAGTTGCAAATGGCCGGGGGCACTACGTGCCGCCGGCACCGATGGTGGCGCCTTCGGTATATGCGTCCTCGTGGGGTACGGCTTTTAGAAATAACACTTGGTGTTAGTTTCGATGTGTAGCCCCCGGTACTTGGTACCGAGGGGTCTTCTGTAGGAACACTTGGTGTTCTCTTTTGTTGTAGTTGATGGAGGTGTCTACCCTCGGTACTTGGTACCGAAGGGTCTTCAAATGGAACACTTGGTGTTTCCCAACAGATGTTTGGAAGTTGATAGGAGAGCATATCCCTGGCACTGGGTACCGAGGGGTCTTCTGTAGGAACACTTGGTGTTCTGATTGGAGTGTTTGGTGCCGGAGGTGTACCCTCGGCACTGGGTGCCGAAGGGAAATGAATTACATGGTGTTCTTTGTTGTTGGTGATAGGAGTTCCCTCCCTCGGCACTTGGTACCGAGGGGTCTTGAGTGAAAACACGTGGTGTTTTCACTGTTGTTGTAGGTGTTGATGGTGTCCGCCCTCGGCACTTGGTGCCGGAGGGGGTTCTTCTCGTGGCGAGGCCTGGGGCCTGTAGTCAGTACGAGGGCTTGATGTCTTGAATGTATCTTCATTCTTCGAAATTGGAGGCCCTGGGCCATAGGATAGTACATTTACTAGTTATGAGGGCTTGGCCGCTCTTACATTATTGATAAAATCTAACTAAGTGGTGTACATTCCAGTGCCTAGGGACCTCTTTCCCGTTGGGGCGTTTGAGTTTGTAAGTCCCGGGTTTGATGATGGCCGCTATGATGTAGGGGCCTTCGAATTTTGGTGCCATTTTTCCTCCCTCGGTTGGTTGGCTGGCTTCCCTCCTCCGGAGGACATAGTCCCCCACTTGGAATTCTCTGGTGCGAACTTTGGCGTTGATGTAGCTTTTGACTTGCCTTCGGTAGTTTTCTGCCCGGATGAAGGCCTGCTCCCGGCGTTCTGAAATGAGGTGGAGGTCGAGGGCCATGTTGCTGTCGTTGACCTCGGGGTCATACTGGATCACTCTTCGGGTGGGAAGGGTGACTTCCGTAGGAGCTTTGGCTTCAAAACCGTAGCAGAGGGAGAAGGGTGTTTCACCTGTTGCTCGCCGAGGGGTGGTGCGGTAGGCCCAAAGGATGTTGTGGAGTTCTTCTACCCAGCCACCGCCCTCGGCCTCCAGCTTCTTTTTGAGGCCCTCGAGCAAGGTCCGGTTGGCATTCTCTACTTGCCCGTTGCCTTGAGGGTAGGCAACGGAGGAGAACGTGTGTTTGATGCCCCATGCCTCCAGAAGGGCACAGAAGGGGGCTGCCTCAAATTGTGTCCCATTGTCGGAGATGATCTGCTGGGGGACGCCAAACCTTGTGAGGATGTTCTTGAGGACGAAGTGACGGCACTTCGCCTCTGTGATGCTGGCGAGGGGTTCAGCCTCAACCCACTTGGTAAAGTAGTCGACGGCCACAATGATGTACCTGTTGTTGGAGGTACCCCTCGGCAGAGGGCCCACAAGGTCTATCCCCCAGCGAGAAAAAGGGACAGATGTGCTGATGGGGGCATAGTTGACCGCTGGCCTGCCGGGGGCTTTCTGGAAATATTGACATGCGGTGCACCTCCGGGCAAGGTCAGCACAATCTCTGGCCATGGTCGGCCAGAAGTAGCCCTGGAGAATGAGCCTTCGGGACATGGAGAAGGGTCCCTGGTGAGCTGAGCAAGTGCCACTGTGCACTTCCTCCATTGCGACCTCGGCCTCATCTTGATGAAGGCATCGAAGTAGCGTGCCATTGTAAGATCGTTTGTAGAGCCTCCCATCTTCGATGGTGTAGCTAGGAGCCCTCAGCTTTGTCAGTTTAGCGCGGGTCTCATTCTCGGGTAGCTGCCCTGTGGAGATGAAGGCGGTGATATCTGAGATCCTATCCTCTTGGCGTTGTTGTATGTTCATCACGGGGCTTGCATGGATACTTGAGAGGCTGAGTTCCTCATTTTGGCAATTTTGGAGATATGCTCGGGGGAGTCGGCCGAGAGTTTAGATAATATGTCGGCCTCGGAGTTCTGAGCCCTCGGTATTTGAGTGAGAGAGTGTGCCTCAAATACCTTAAGCAACTCCTTGGCCGCTTCCTTGTACTGTTTCATCCTTCCCTCCTTCGCCTCATATTCCTCGGAGATTTGGCCGACGACCAACTTGGAGTCGCATTTGATGTGGATCTGCCGAGCCCTCATGTTGGCAGCCAGCCGAAGGCCACATAGGAGGGCCTCATATTCGGCCTCGTTGTTGGAGACTTTGAAGGAGAAGCGGATTTCATAGTACGCTCTGAAGCCCTCGGGAGTAATGAGGACTACCCCTCCCCCGCATGCTTTGGTCGCGGAGGAGCCGTCAGTGTAGAGGGTCCACCAGTCGTCCGAGGTAGCCGAGGGCTCCCCGTCCGTGGCTGCCCTTGCGGTACATTCCGTCACAAAGTCCGCCAGGGCTTGGCCCTTGATGGCAGGCCTTGGACGGATGTCAATGTTTTACTGGCTCAAGAAGATAGCCCATTTCACCATGCGGGAGGAGCTGGTGTGGCTCCTCATGAGGGCGCCGAGGGGTTGATGGGTGAGGACCTGAACCGGGTGAGCCTGAAAGTAGTGGCCCAACTTCTTGACAGTCCAAACGATGGCTAACACCGTTTTTTCCACAGGGGAGTACCTGAGCTCGGCCTCCCTTAGGGTCTTGCTAACGTAGAAGATGGCATGTTGGATGCCGTCTTCCTCCCGGATGAGCACAGAGTTGATGGCCGCCGGGCTAACCCCAAGGTAGAGGTAGAGGGTCTCCCCTACCTTGGGTTTGGAGAGCACAGGAGGTGAAGATAGATACCGTTTGAGCTCGTCGAAAGCCCCCTGGCATTCTGGAGTCCATAGAAAGCCAGCTGTCTTCCTCATGATCTGGAAGAAGGGTAGAGACTTCTCCACCGATTTAGATAGAAAGCGGTTGAGGGCTGCCAGGCGGCCCGTCAACCGTTGAACTTCCTTCACGTTGCGTGGGGGCTCCATGTTGATGATGGCCTGGATCTTCTCGGGATCGGCCTCAATACCCCTTCGGCTCACCATGTAGCCCAAGAATTTGCCCCCTTGGACGCCAAAGGTGCACTTCTTCGGGTTTAGCCGAAGGTTGAATTTTTGCATGATGGCGAAGATTTCCCGGAGGTCGTCAGCATGGTTGGAAGATTGT